CTTGAAAGGGGAAGCTGTGAAAATGGAGGCACAGCGTCAACGTTTCCGGCAGTTCTGCTGCCAGGAGGTGGAAGATCCTTGGAAGTTTTACAGGCAAATCCAGGAGCTTTGCCACCAGTGGCTGAAGCCGGAGAGACACACCAAGGAGCAGATCTTGGAACTCTTGATCCTGGAGCAATTCCTGGCCAGCCTTCCTCCGAAGCTCCAGAGCTGGGTTCAACCAAGGAGGCCGGACACCTGTTCTCAGGCGGTGGCCCTGGTGGAGGACTTCCTGAGGAACCAACAAGGGACCAAGTCAGAAGCATCTCAGGTAGGGTGTGAGGATATAAATCTCAGCGTTTACATAACAGAGGATGGATTTGGGTGCTAGAAACACCTACAGCACTAAAAGACAATGATGTAGTTCACCCTGTTTTGACTTCTGGTGATTACAAGAATTTTAAACACTACTGTCAACATTCCTGAAGTTCTGTTTACATTGTAACTTTCCAAGTCCTTTTTCCTTTCCCCTCATTTGAAGTAATTACTGTTATTATTTCGTGTGAAGTTAAGACTCTGATATATTCATGCTTTCTTTTTCTTATTTAATTTAGCACAATTACATCACTTTTAGTACACATACAGAAATATCCACAAGGTTTTCTTAGCCAGTGATCTGCGTGATCTCTTCTCCTAGGAATTCCTGTTATCCTGTCCAAGTACTAACCGGACTGACCCCTGCTTAAGTTCAGAGCCTAAACATGGTGTTACTATTTACTGACTGGCGGAAAACTGATTTTATTCTCATTTAACCACTAATGCTGAAACAACCTTATAAAGTCTCATGCTGATCTTTTAATTTTTTTATCTTGTGCACAGCAGTGTTAATTTTGAGAGCTTCATTACAGGGAGATGATTCACTGGTATGGTACCGCATTTCCTGCAGGGCGAATCCAGGAACTGTGAGCGGGTTAGAACTCTGCACAGTATTATGTAACTTCATTGAATAACCTTCAGTAATCTTTATGAGAACCAGGCAACCAGACCCCAAGATTCCTATTTATGGCAAAATGAATCAAATTGTTCTGAGTAGGGCTGTTTTTCATGTTTCAGGGGCCACAAAATGAAGAACTGACCAATTTTGAATGTGCAGAAAAGGAGCCCTTAGAGGCTGTGAAGAGAGAAGATGTTGAAGTGGAGATCAGTATGCTGGGTTAGTACTTTCTGGAAGGAGCAAATGCCGAGCCCCTTCTGCATTTATGGGATGCTTAAACTGAGGCCAGATTGCCTTTCCTTGATCAGTTTCCTGGAAGAGGGAATTTGGATAAATGCAATATGTTACGTGGATCACCGAATCTGGAGCAGCTGAATTCTGAAGGAGTTACTGTTTGCCATAAAAATCTGGCTATAAGATACAGTTTAGCAGGAACATGATTTGGAGCAGAAACCACTCGCTTTAAATATTTTTCTCCTGATTTGATCAGTGTTTTCTGTAAGAACCTTGCAATAAGCTTGGCAAGAGCAGAATTCCTCGATCAAAGCAATTCTATCTCTGTCAAACCTTCCAGGCCCGCCCTATATAGGCAGGACGACCTCTTGTCCACCACGAAAAGGAATTAGATGGGAATGAAAGAGGAAAACGTAAGAAAGGGAAATCACCCAGCAATGTCTAACGTTGGGACAAAAGTGGGTTGCCAGAGAGGCATTTCCCCACCAATCTCAAAATTCCTTCTGCAAAAATTCACCCTTGTTCCCAACTCTAAAAATGATGGGTCTTGTGTGCAGCTATGGGTCCAGTCACTTGAGTGGGAAGGGTTAAGCACATGCTCATTGTAATGTCTTGGTTCTCACCTGCAGGGCATGGAGTCAAATCCCCAAGCCACCCCAGCTCATTGCTTCCTTCCGAAAGATTTGGGGTGGCCCAAACTGCTTTGAGAGAGGTGCGTGTGTCAACCTTGTAAGACAGTTTGCTCTGTACCAGTTTGGGGGTATTCAGCATCAAGACCTATTCTTTGCTGCCTGTCCTCCTGCTCCCTTTGGATTAAACAGTATATGATCTATTTTATTTTTAGCTAAAATTCCAGTTTTTTCACTGTTAGTTTTGTTAATTGGGAGTTGATTTCCAGTTGATCCCTGGAGACCTACTGAAAACTCCCCTTCGGATACTGAGCCCAGTATGTGTTATATATACTGTGAGAGGAAGAATTCAAACAGTATGTGCTGCCAAGGATACATAGAACTGCTACCAAAGTTTGTAACTTAGCTTTGCCAGAAGCAGTTTGCATTTTGCACTAAAATAAGGGATGTGTCCCCCACCTTGAGAAACATTGTTGATATAGAGGACCCGTTCCATCCTTGTTATAATAAACATTGATCAGTAAAGGAATTATTGTACTATTAATAGTTCTGGATTTTACAGTGAGGGTAAAGATGTTCTTTACACCTCTTTCTACTGCAGTAGGCTGTCTCTTACTCTTTACAGGAAGTCATGGACCTAAAGGAAAAAGATGTTTGCTTGCAGGCAGCTGAGTGGAAGCTGATCCAGCCTGTCCCTAAAAGGATGGCGTGGGAAGTTCTCCAGGCGGAGCACCGAAATGTTGACTCTTTAAGTAAGGGGGGCTCTGCCATTCAGCCAAATAGTTTAAAGTTTAGCCTATTCAGCCAAAGGAGCAAAGTTTAGCCTATCCATTTCCTTATCTCCATTTCCTTACCTCCAAAGAAGAGTAAATTGGGGCATTCAGTCTGGAACATGTGCATTTTGGAAGAACAGGAAAGAGTAGATAATCAGAAAGTCTTCACATTGTCCCTTTACTTAACTCCAAAGAGGCAAGAGACACCTTGTTTTCAGTCATTTTGACTGAAAGATGAACGTGTTGAGGAGGCACATGGGAATGTAGCAGTATAAAGAGTTCTCAGTAAATGCTCAAAAATCTTTTCCATCCTTGCTTGAAATGAATACAGTGGTACCTCGGGTCACGAACGCTTCTGTTCATGAACAATTCGGTTCACTAACAGGTCCGGTCGCAAAATTTTGCCTCCGTTCGCGAACGCCGGATCGGGTGACGAACAGGATCCGTGGCCATTTTCCCTCCCGTGACACGGTCCGCGGCCATTTTCCCGCCCATTACACGTGGTCCGCGGCCATTTTTCCGCCCGTGACACGTGGTCGTAGGGAGGGGGACTCTCCCTCCAAGCAATAACCGCCTCCCTGTCCTCCACGCCAGAACGGATTAACCGTAATTACATTGAACCTTATGGGAAAATTTGCTTCGGGTCGCGGCCAATTTTGGTCGCGAACAGAGTCGCGGAACGAATTAAGTTCATGAACTGAGGTACCACTGTATTTGTATTAGCAAATTTATTGACAGAGTGGCTCAGCGTATGTACAGAGGAGAATGGAGATAGCCTGGAAGAAAGTATGTGGCAGCCATCACAAAAACATCAGCTTAGTTCAGAATCACAGGGAGGGGTGAGGAAGAAACTCAAGATCATCCTGCCTTGATGCTCTTTCGTATAAGAAGGAAGGAAGGGGAAATACAGCCAGGCTTTCAAGAGTCTATTATTATAGCCTAGATCAGTGCTTCTCAACCTTATCAACTTTAAGACATGTGGACTTCAACTCCCAGAATTCCCCACCCACGAAGGCCGGGTGGGGGAGTTTTGGGGGGGGGGGCCCCTCACCTTAAAAATTCCCCGGGGTAGAAGAAGCAGCCACCGAAA